GAGCCAGGACATCCCTGAGTCTGGGCTTTGGGATGACCCCAAGTGAGGCGGGGCTAGCCAAGACCGAGCAGAGCAGAGGAGAGCACACCTCCCCCTTGCCTACACTGCTGCTGGTACAATTCCCAGCCAAGAAGCAACTATGGTGAGAGCATTTGTTCTTTTTTTTTTTTTAATATTCAAGAACACTAGGTACTACGGAATCTAAGCTCAAAACAAAGTAAGAACATCTGATGACTAGTAGCATAATAATTTTTCATCCCTTTACAGGAAAGATTTGAGAAAGAAGAGAAAGACCATTTTCTGAATTAAGTTGATTAGGAAATGAACTATTTGTATCAAGCATGTGTGGTCCAGAATTTATCAAAACCGTTCCTAGGCTCTATTTTTTCCTCATATACATGACATTTCTTTACTGTTCTAAGAGAAAAATGTTATAATAGCCTTCAGATGCAATATAAATTTCTTAAAGCTTAAGTTATAGAGATTTTTCATAGCAGTATTATTTTGTTTAAGACAGGAATAAAATTTCAGTGATAAGAGTTTGAAATTCTTTTTTTTTTTTTCAGAACTTGCAAAAAAAAAGAAAAAGCATTCATGGAATTAGAGCCCTACTACTTATATCCTGGACAATATTGGAATGACAGTTCCTTCTGCAAAAACAACAAAAAAAAGATGACCTAAAAATTTCACCTTCTCTGAAACACAAATACCTCTCAAATGTACCTGTAGATGTCTGGGCAAAGAACCCAGCTTTAATATACATCCATCTGATATTTAAACAACAGGAATGAATAAAGAGAACGTTAGAAAGCAAAGCAAAGTCCACAATATGGAATGGGCTCTGAGGCTAAGCCATTATTACACCATTGCGCCATAATCATCAAACTAAATTTGTTTTCATGACAACCAAACAACAATCTTCATATTACCAACAAACAGTGCCCGTGTCTGCTCCAAATTCCAAGTTCTTGTTAAAAGGTTATGTGCAACACTTACAATGCTTTCATTTTAAACAGCTTTCATGCACTCCAACTTCAGATTCTCTCTATTAACATGTGAGCTAGGAAACTGGAATTAAGTTCTGTGTAACTTAATGTGATGCACTGCCCAAGAGTTCATTTTGCCCTATTAATCATGGAATTGTCAAATAACTATAAATATCTCATTCGCGTCAGAAAGCAAGTAAAGTAAGCAGCTGAGGTTATTGTTTATTTCCGTATTAACTTGAAGACAGCTACTCTTGGCACATTTTAGCTCTGGGGTTTAAATTAAAATGCCAACAGAAGCCACATGGTGATGTGTATTCTTTTCCCTCATTACTAAATCCCCCATGACATTTTTCAAAGCTTCGCGGGATTCCATGCCAGATCTAGTGTCTACTGTCTAAGAGGCTACACACATGAGTAAACCAAGGGGAAGTTCCTTTCCCTACTTCATCCAAGTCATCAACTTATTTGCATAGCTGTGTAAGAGGAACAACATTCATCGTAAGCATGGGACAAAAAAAATTCTTAACAGTAATTACAGATAGTGCACGAGATCAGTCCGGGTAAGGACAGCTATGCTCCGACACTGAGAAATTATCTACAGGATCTGGTGTTCCTAGGGAAGAAAACAGGTTTCCGAGTTACACTCAGATATTGAGGGCGCAGGGCAGTGTACAGGGTGGTTATGTGCCACTTGTGTTTCTTTGCAGAATGATCCCAAGATCCTGCAGAAGTTACCAAGTTTACTCCAGTGAAGATGGAGAACCAACTTAAGCATTTCAAGGTCTTTGGGAAGGGACAGACATTAGGTCCAGAGAACTGTCCCAAATGGGAAACACTTCAAAGTTAGCCTCGGACTACAGCCAGTCACTCAGATTTCCTTCAGTTTTTGGAAGATTGCTCTGCCTATCCCTTTTATAGTAGTTTTTCTTTTTTAATGAATCACAGACACTAGGCATAAATAAATTCAAGAAAGCCTCAAGGAAATCTATGAATGAGAATTTCAGAATGGGTTTGGAAAGGAAAATCTAAGCTGCATCCCTCATCTACGAGGATGAAAGAATGGAAGTCACGCTCTCTTGCATAGAAATAGCTGTGGCATGGGTATAAGACAGAATCCAAGACTGGGCTGACCACTATTCTCTCATAGAACTGTCGGACTCTAAACCTTCCAACACGAACTTTCCAAAGGAAAACCTTATGTCCAGTACTGTACTGTGTAGGGTAGTAAACTATTATCTCTCAACTCCGAACCCACCCTTCTATATTCTGCTCTACAGTCTGGAACTCTACAGACATTTCTCCTTTAGGCTTCACCAACAAGGGCTTCTAGAAGGAGACAGGCTGGCAAAAGAGATCTATGTTCTTTGCTTGCTGTCAAAGTCAAGACACTTCACTATGGCAGTTGGAATGGTTCTAGTTTCTAGCACTTATCCAACCCAGCTCCATCCTCCAAACAGCCTCATTATATTCTAGAGAGCAATAGGAAACTGGCCAGGGCCTTCCAAGACCATCCCTAGAGATCTGAACCCCAACTTGCAAGGCCCTTCCTATAAGCTTCTAAATTCTGATAATCCCAACTTCTTTATTTTCCCACCCCCGCCACCCTAGGGGTGGTAGCTCTTCTTGCAATCGCTATCTGTGTTTCCTCAGTATTCCCATTTTGTTTTTTCAATTCTTCAATACACTGTGCCCACTGTAAGACCTACCTCTTAATGCTGCTATGGGAATCCAAACTTTTGCTACCTCCTCCAATGACCCATAACCCTTTCCATGGTTTCTTGACTATCAGCAGTAAAGGGGCCTGAGAATGACTTGGTGATACCACATCTTCACCAACCCTGAGAAGTCCATACCTCCTCTACTTCTGAGAGTGGATGAAGCATCTGATGCAGGAAGTAGGGACTGTTCCAGTTGGTAGAAAAAAAAAGACAAGAAACCACTGATTCTATTCACACCAAATAAACAAAAGTGGAAGAATTTTAATAATCTGTCATAATTCCAAGGGATATAAATTTACTGAACACCAATATTAGAAAGCATTGCTTGTTGATAATGGGTACATACAAGAAACTCAAAACCTGGTCCTGTTGATGTGAACTTAGCAAACAAGTCTGAAACGAGTTTTGGAATCAATAGTTAATCAAGTAATAAAAAAATAAATTTTATGTTTGGGTGAGAAGACCAAACCTACACCAGATACCAAGAGCATGCTGACCTTTTTAGAGAAAAAAATGTTAGGTGGAACTAAAATTTGAGCTAATGTGACTTTTGACCTTTGCTTTTACTTTATCACTAAAAAACAATGCTATTTATTACCTTAGGGCAAAGACTACTATTCTTCCAAATATCCTTTCTCTCTTTCTCGCTCATTAATCACCTCTTAACCACCAATTTTCAGGTATGAAGATGGCCACCCAGAATAAAGATTTCCAACTTCCCTTCGAGTGACTACTTTTTGGCCAATGGAATGCAACTGAAAGTGATATATGTACAGATGGAGGAAGCTAGCGCCCCTTTCTGTTTCCTTCTTTCCTACTGCTGGAGTGTGGACAAGGTAGGGAAATCTCAAACCACACACCTGAGAACCACTCTCTAGGAATCTATATATATACAAGCCTGAATGACCAAATGACTGAATGACTGGTCGCTATGACACACACTGACCACCAGGGGGCAGACGCTCAACACAGGAGCTGCCCCCAGCGGTCAGTGTGCTCCCATGCCAACTTTCTGCGGCCAGCCAACCTCCCACAGTCCCTCCCCCGGCTAGCGAACCTCCTGTGGTCCCCTCTTCTCCCCCCGTCCCCCCCCCCCCCCCCCCCGGCCAGCTGCCTTCACCTCCCTCCCCCACCTCCCGATTGGCCCGGATCACCAGCCAGGCCAAGGGACCCCACCCGTGCATGAATTTGTGCACCGAGCCTCTAGTGACAGAATAACAATGGAGAATGGGCATGGTCCCTGATGATGTCATACAGGGGGCTATGAACAGTTGCTGGATCAGTTTGAGTGTTTATGTAAGGGGGGGGGACCCCTAACATTTTAGATGTCTGTCTGCTATAGTAGTCAAATCTATATTTTAATGATATAAATTCCAAATATTTAGTTACCAGGCCTTAACATTCACATTGAGCCCATATAGCTAACTGATCATTGAACTTCTGGTCTGCTCTTCCTGTATTTCCCAGGGAAGGTTGGGATGGTGGTGGAAATTGTCTGTTTCCCAGCAGGTACCATACAGACTTCCAGAGGTGTTGTGCACCCTGACTACAGAGTGAAACTGGTCAAGACAGATGATGTTAATTTGGTACACAGAAGTTTCTTAGAGCAAAGAAAGACTATCCATGATTACTGCAGGGAGTTTCCAAAGGAAAAGGTGGCACTTTCAGTGCAAACTTTATTAGACTCATATTTTAAGAAGCTTCACTCAATCTTGCCTATGCAGAAAAATGCACCCACATAACATACAAGGCATGGCTTTGGCATTTTATGTGCCTGCGAAATGTTTGTAAAAGCACTTATTTGGAGACCTGCTTTGAAATGAGTTTCTAGCACCTGAAACATAATTTAAACACTGAACATGGGTCTACTGCTATATGAACATAAATCTAATAACTATTAAAACCATTTGTCTCCCAACCAAAGTCAAGGAACCACTTTGCTGGGATTCCCTGTGACAAGAGAGAAATTCAGAGATGTCCTAAATTAAATTACAGCAGGCCAGAGCGTGAGAGAGAGGCAAGAGCTGCGGACCGATTAACAACAGACTGCTCACAGTCCTGCCTGTATGTTGGAGCTTTGAAACAAGTTCCAGGCAGCTGTCTAGAAAGAAGCAGAGACCACCAGCTGCCACCCTCCTGCATATGCGTGAATTCAGGATTGTTGCCCACGACCAATAAAAAGTAGTAACTATTTCTTCCTTATGGACTGTGCATCTATCCCAGGCCTGCCCCCACTTCACCTTCCCCCCTCCCATTATCTGTAGTCAATGTCAATTCTTTCAAAACCACTTACATTTGTCTTCCCCAGAACATGATGCATGAAAGAACCCAGCAGCTCCAGGAAGGCAGGCACACTGCCTTCTCCATCCAGCTCTGCTGCTGGGGGTTTCAGCTGTATGTTCCAGGACCGGCTCCTTTTCTGACTAGCATTTGGCTCCATAAACCCTTTCTTTTAGAAAAGCTTTTGGCCTGTGTGGAAAGATTTTTGTTTAACATCCATATAAAAGAAATTCCTAAATACAAATACTTAGCAGATTCACTGGGCTGCCGAGACAACGGAGCAAGATGTAGGTTACTGCCTAGCAGGGGCTGTTCTAAACGTAGTTTAACCCATCAGTAGGATTTTTCTACAATTGTAAAATACTGTGCATGGTAATTTACAACAGAACTGAAATCATTTCTGATAAACAATACAGCAAGATCAGAGAGCGGTGTCCCACTGGAGAGCAGTAAAGAGAGTATGACTGTTGATGTCAGTGTTTCAGAAAATGATTACACGAGTTCCTCAAGTCTGAGGATTAAGAATGAAGTGCAGGTCTCACTGGGGGTCATGACCAGGACACAATGAGTATTTGTCAACTGAAAATAAGCCACTGGAACTTGAACCTCTCTTCTTTAGGAGAGTAAGACCAGAGGCTAATTAGCAGGGGCCCAAGGGAGTAGTGTAATACAGGGCCTGCTCTCCAGGAGCTCAGGGACCAGCTGGGGAAGCAGCCATGTGCTAAAGAGTATTATGGCCGTTTATAATCATGCACCATAATGAGGATCCTTTCCTGAGACTGGAGATATCAGTGTGGTCTAAAATTGTTAAAGAAAGCTTCAGAGGAGAGGTGGAACTCCGAAGGCTGTAAGAAGATTTAGATAGCTGGATGCTATGCCAAACAGGGACAGAGTGCCATGGCCTAAAGGCAGAATTCAGCAAGCCCAGGCAGCTAGATTCCTGCCCTGGAGACAGGTGCACCTATCCATAAAGCACTGGCTAGTGACATAACGCAGGTAACGCCCTTACTGATTCAGCTTTTAGCAAACTCTAAGACTGAATCAGTGACCCTCCCTGCCTCAGAGGGTGGGCTCTGCAGTCAGCCTGGGTTTGAACCCTGGCTCCATTACCTACAAGGCCAGTGACCCCAGGCAAGGCCTTTAACTTTTCTAAACTGCAAATCTCCTCATCTGAAAAATGTCAGAAGATTAACTTGAGAAGATAAACATGTCTAACAGAGAGCACAGTAAGAATTCAATAAAAGTTCCTTATTAGTACTTAATGTTTACCCACCAATTTTCAGACACATTTTTGGCTCCCTTCATGGGTAGAAACAAACAGTGCTGACCTGTTACAAAAGTATAAATAAATATGCAAACAAAATCTGTGTGTGAACTTAAAATTAGACTCACGGTCATAGAAAAGAAGCCACATCACTGTGCAGTGAAATAGGTGTAGTCTAGCCAAGAGGTGACTAAACATAAGGGCATAATTTTCATTGTTATTTTTTAAAATGTTAATAATGTGGAGGAAAATATTTGAGAAAATACAGAAATGGCTGCGTTATACAAGTAGAAAGAAAAATTCTTCACAACAATGGGAACAAGGTTAATAAATAAAATTAACAATGCACTTACCACACAGCATAATTAACCCCATGGCAGTGACTTAAATTTCTTAGTATTTAGTCTTTAAGCAGAAGCTTAAAAGCTTTAGAGCAGTGGTTCTCAACCTTCTGGCCCTTTATTTTTTTTTTTTTTCTTTTCTTTTTTTTAAATTAAATCTTTATTGTTCAGATTATTACATTTGTTCCTCTTTTTTTTCCCCCCCATAACTCCCCTCCTCCCAGTTCCCGCCCCACCCTCCGCCCTCACTCCCCACCCACTGTCCTCATCCATAGGTGCATGATTTTTGTCCAGACTCTTCCCGCATCTCCCACACCCCTTTCCCCCCCAGGAATAGTCAGTCCATTCCCTTTCTATGTCCCTGATTCTATTATAATCACCAGTTCATTCTGTTCATCAGATTATTTATTCACTTGATTCTTAGATTCACTTGTTGCTAGATGCATATTTGTTGTTCATAATTTGTATCTTTACCTTTTTCTTCCTCTTCCTCTTCTTAAAGGATACCTTTCAGCATTTCATATAATCCTGGTTTGGTGGTGATGAACTCCTTTAGCTTTTCCTTATCTGTGAAGCTCTTTATCTGACCTTCCGTTCTGAATGATAGCTTTGCTGGATAAAGTAATCTTGGTTGTAGGTTCTTGGTATTCATCACTTTGAATATTTCTTGCCACTCCCTTCTGGCCTGCAAAGTTTCTGTTGAGAAATCAGCTGACAGTCGTATGGGTATTCCCTTGTAGGTAACTGAGTTTCTTTCTCTTGCTGTTTTTAAGATTCTCTCTTTATCTTTTGCTCTTGGCATTTTAATTATGATGTGTCTTGGTGTGGTCCTCTTTGGATTCCTTTTGTTTGGGGTTCTCCGCGCTTCTTGGACCTGTAAGTCCATTTCTTTCACCAGGTGGGGGAAGTTTTCTGTCATTATTTCTTCAAATAGGTTTTCAATATCTTGCTCTCTCTCATCTTCTGGCACCCCTATAATTCTGATGTTGGTACGCTTGAAGCTGTCCCAGAGGCTCCTTACACTATCCTCGCATTTTTGGATTCTTTTTTCATTTTGCTTTTCCGGTTGAGTGTTTTTTGCTTCCTCGCATTTCAAATCATTGACTTGATTCTTGCACTCCTCTGGTCTGCTGTCGGGAGTCTGTATAATATTCGTTATTTCAGTCCATGTATGCTTAATTTCTAGTTGGTTCCCCAATATAAGATCGAGGGTCTTATTAGTTTTCTTGTAGATCTCATTAAGTTTATCGGCGGCTTCTAAACAGTTCTTGAGAGACCTTAAAAGTGTGGTTCTGAACTCTATATCTTCCATTGACAATTTTGTCCTGTTTCTTTGTCTCCGCATTTTGTTATGCTTCCTTGGTGCACCCCCTAGTGGTCTTTGTTCGCAGTCTTATAGTTAAATCTTGATTGTTGTAGCTAATTCCAGGGAGGGTTTGACCTCCAGGCCAAGTGGCTATGAGAATCAGCTGTGTCAGCAGTGAGAGAACTTCTGTCCTCTAGGGAGGTGCTAATCTAGCCTTTGCCTGAGGCTATCCGGCAAATGCCTGTGTGCAGGGCTTGGGCGGGGCAGGTCGCACAGGATCAACAGGGTGGGCCGGAGAGAGCAGTTATGGCGGCTCTCAGTCCTGTCCCCAGGGGCTCTGCCTCTCTGAGTCCCAGCACCCGCTGCAAAGCTCGGAGAGAAAGCTGCACTCGCTCTGACCGAAGCCAGACAGTCCCGCTTCTCCCGTTTGAGTCTGGGTCCCTAAAGACTCGCCCGGATCTGGAGCTCAGAGTCTGCGACTCCCTCCCGATTGAAAACGCCAACCGCGCCCTCCGCCGCCAGCCCGCTCCGCGCACTCTGCACCTCAGAATTTGACTTCAGCACTGCGCCTCCTCTGAGTGTCCGTATGCGTTTCTCTTTCCTCCTAGTTGTAGGACTTCCACTCAGCCAGCGTTCCTGTGGTTCTGGGTGATGTCCCTTCCGTTTTTTGGTTTCACTTTTGAAGTAGTTGTTCAAAGCAGCAAACTCCGGCGTTAACCTATGCCGCCATCTTGGTTCTCCCTTCTGGCCCTTTAAATACAGTTCCTCATGATGTGACCCAACCATAAAATTATTTTCATTGCTACTCCATAACTGTAATGTTGCTACTGTTATGAATCGTAATGTAAATATCTGATATGCAGGATGGTCTTAGGCGACCCCTGTGAAAGGGTCGTTCGACCGCCAAAGGGGTCGCGACCCACAGGTTGAGAACCACTGCTTTAGAGTGTTCAGTAACTGAAACTCAAAATTAAGTTGTGGACTTTCCTAGGGTGAAGAATAAGAAAGAGGGTGAAATAAGTCACTGCCAAGAAAAACTGCTCTTTCAGTATTCTCCCTCAGATCACTTCTGCTTTTCTCCACTTAATTGTTGGCTGAGCAAGGAAGCACAAACTAGTTTCAACAGCAACTTTTATAACTTCTTATAAAAGTCAGAATCATACCTATACATTTTGAAAGGAGCAGATGAAAAACAATTTTGCAAATGTGTTGTACACAGCAATTTTGGAATTTCTTTTTTCCTGATCTTTAAACCACTCAATACTAAAATTACCAGATGTTAAGATTTGTTTACAAAACAGTATATATCCTAGAAACAATATAGAAATTAAAATATTTCTACAGTAAAATAAAAAGGCAATCTACAAATTAATATATACATTATATAAAAAAATCTTGATAATTAGCTTTGAATAAGATGGGTTATAGGTGATTCTTAGTTTCTTATTTGCTTTCATTTTTTTAATATTTTCTACAATGAACATACATTTACATTCAGGAAAAAGGACTATATGTTAAAGTACACAAATGATAGTATTTTCCTCTTTCAACATATTAGAACATTGGTACATTGAAGGACATGACTTGTAAGCCGAATGCCTAGAGGTCCAGGAGAAAAGACAATATTCCACCCCTTTTCACCTGTAATGCAAAATAATGAATGCATAACAAATTTGCATAACTTCATTATTTTAATTCTTTTAACTGCTCTCGAAACTATGTACAAATTATGATGCTCATACAAGAAGGGAAAACAACCTGTATAAAACTGCCAGGTACACACTGCACTAGGAGCTCTCATAAACTTACCCTGGTGGAAGCACAAGAACATGGCTCTGAGGTAGATTTTATGAGGAAAAGGCGGCTTGGAGAGGTGAAGTCACTAGGTGAAGCTCACTAAACTATTCACAGGGTTTCCACCAGGATTTTAACCCATGTCAGAGTCCATGTCTACTTTTACTATACAATGATGTCAGCTTCTATTTGTAATCCACCAGGTTGTCCTTAGGGAGCTGTATGTTATACAGTAAGTCAATTAAACATCAATATAACTTCCCCAGGATATTTAGTATTCATGGGAATTAATATTCAGAGTTTTCAACCCAATTATTTTTAGAAAGAAAAAAGATGTATATGGTTTAGATACCCTCATCCTCCCTACCCTCTCCCCCAACACAAATGGTTGGCCTAAACTATCACCTTGTACTACAGCAAAGCTCCCTCTGCTTTTATTTATTTATTTTAAAATATATTTTAACTAGAGGCCCAGTGCACAGACTGATGCACCAGTGGGGTCCCTCAGCCTGGCCTGTGCCCTCTTGTAATCCGGGACCCTTGGGGCGATGTTGGAGAGCCCGTTTTGGCCTGATCCCTGCAGGCCCGATCCAGACAGGAGGGAGCCCATCCTGTGCATTGAGCGTCTGCCCCCTGGTGGTCAGTGAGCATCATGTCAACCGGTCATTTAGGCATATATCTGTCTATCTAGGTGATTCTTAGTTTCTTATTTACTTTCATTTTTTTTATCTATCTATATCTATATCTATATCTATATCTATATCTATATCTATCTATATCTATATCTATATCATCTATATCTATATATCTATTAATTTCAGAGAGGAAGAGAGAGGGAGAAATATCAATGATGAGAGAGAATCATGGATCGGCTGCCTCCTGCATGCCCCCTACAGGGGATCGAGCCCTCAACCCAGACATGTGCCCTGACCAGAAATCAAACCGTGACCTCCTGGTTCATGGGTTGATGTTCAACCACTGAGCCATGCCAGCCGGGCACTCCTCCTTTTAATAGCACTTCCTACTTTACTTCCTATACACAAACCCTAGTAAGGAATACTACAATCAATGTCAGTATACTTTCCCTAGGGATCTTTTTTATTAATTATGGACTTATTTGGGTTTTTCAAATTCTCCCTAAGACAGTGACAAAAAAAGGGAAGAAAAAGAAAAACTACTAAAATATCAGATTATTCCAAAACCATGAGATTGCCGAATTTCTTGAACTTAGGGTTTATGTCTCTTACTTGACTAGCATACAGTTTGGGTAACCACAGAAACTGTTACCATTGACACAGGACAAGCAGAAGCAGGAGATGGGAAGGCTAGGTTTACACAAGGAAATGAAAACCTCCCCAGCAGCCCTGATTTGACCTTCACTACTTCCTGGTAACCAGACTACAGTACGAAATTTTGAGTTCAGTATTCCTGAGCTGCAGCTTGGGCTAAATATCCAAAATATTTTAACTCATTAGGCTGACTGGGACAGGAAACATTTAATCAGTGTTACAAAATCATATAATGTAGTGCCTGTATTCGTAGAGAATCATGGAATTCGCTCAGTGAAGTAATTACAGTAATCCAAGTCCTAACCTCCCCAAAATGAATTTTTCCACTTTTCTTTTTGCAAGCTACTGATCTTTACTCCTAGCAGTAAGTTAGGCATCTAAATGGCATTGTCCTTTCAGGATTCCAGGTGCTACTCCGTAAACATTTAATGAGGTCATGCCCACAAGTACATGTTTCCACAGAGCAATGCAGAGAATTCAATCAGCCTCAGGCTTCTCTGGGCAAGAAGTTGATTTGTAAATGATAATAAGCAGGTTGAAACGCAGCAAATTTCTCATGCTTTACCATAAACCAGTTAAAGCATGGTGGGTTTTGTTTGTTGTTTTACTTTTATGGGTGTCAGTCATCAATTACAAAAAATATGGTTGTGAAAAAAATTGTTATTGAATTGGAGTGACATTGATTAAC